GTGCGTGCGTGCGTGCGTGCGTGCGTGCGTGCGTGCGTGCGTGCGTGCGTGGGTGGGTGGTTGTGTGTGTGTGTGTGTGCGTGTGCGTGTGTGTGTGTGTGTGTGTGTGTGTGTGTGTGTGTGTGTGTGTGTGTGTGTGTGTGTGTGTGTGTGTGTGTGTGTGTGTGTGTGTGTGTGTGTGTGTGTGTGTGTGTGTGTGTGTGTGTGTGTGTGTGTGTGTGTGTGTGTTGTGTGTGTGTGTGTGTGTGTGTGTGTGTGTGTGTGTGTGTGTGTGTGTGTGTGTGTGTGTGTGTGTGTGTGTGTGTGTGTGTGTGTGTGTGTGTGTGTGTGTGTGTGTGTGTTTGTTTGTGTCTGGGTGAATGTGTGCATGTCATTGTGTGTATATGTCACTATGCGTGCATGTGTGTGTAGTTATTTATGTATCTAGGTGGTTCTTGATGTATGTTCGTATGTATATGTGTATGTATGTGCATGTGCATGTGCATGGTTGCATGTGTGCATGTGTGTATCTATGGTTTCCTCCTGGGCGGGTCGCTCATGGTTGTCGAGTCAATCACCCGGAAAAGGGTGCTGACCATCCTTCACCACAAGCCAACAAGGTGCCCACACCAGCGGCTCAAGTGAATACCTTACCTCCATACTATGGCTTGAATCACATGGGAAGATCTCTTTTTTGTAGATGGTTGGTTTCCTTCTGGCCTGTCATCCAAACGGGGGAGTCCCTGTAGCAGCCTTGCAGCAACCACGTCGGTCAAAAGAGCTGGAAATAGTTCCAAACATGCTTTCCCGCACAGTTCACCACATTTTCTCATCCTCTCACAAGAGGATCTTGTTGAAGCAATGCCCCAGGAGCATCCCCAACAGCATCCGCCCAATGTGGTTCCCCTTGCCCAGAAGCTGCAAACCGGGGCGATCCCCACAAGCATTGCCCCACAAGCAGCCCCTCCCCTCCCCGTCCTGCGTCAGGAAGAAGAAAATTAAGCGTAGGAAAATGCCTCGATCGAGCTGAGGACTTGATCACTTCCAATGAACCCATCGTGGATGCCTCAAGTTGCGGCGAAGCGAGTGCAGACAAGGGGCTTGTCTTGCCTTCTGCCTGGCTGACTGATTTCTGACCCGGCCCTCGGAATCGCATCCCCAATCCATGGCATAAAAGGGGAGTGCCTTTCCTGGCACATGAACTTTGCGCATACCAAGCTCAGAAAGGCAAAGCGAGCACCAGGTCGACGCGAGCCACGGACACAATTACTTCACAGTAGGTTGAGTTGGGTGGGCCCCCGATGTTTTGTGAGACATTTGTGGGATACTGGGAAGGCCACCCATGCCCTCTCCAAATGAACAACCTACTACCAGGACGAAACTGTCCGTTGCTCGCGTCCCCAAACCCAACTTCAACTTGTCAGATTGATGGGAGTGTGTTCTCCCAGAGCCCCAAAAGTGAAGGACTGCCGGTACACGGGACGTGTTGATGAATCAACAACGTTCTCCTTCCCTTGGAGAACCCACCCCGACGCACCCCCACATAACCCGTAGTAGAGAGAACGAAGGGAAATCGGACTTACGAATGCAAGGGGTAGAAATCCCCTCCAGTTCGAGTTGGCTTTGTAAAGCCCCAAAATGGCCAAAAAACGGCTTCTTCAACGCACCTCCCCTCCCACCCCAGCCCCCAACCAAAAAAACAAAACAGCCCACCCAGCCGCCCACAGCCGCCCGCCCACCGCAGCCGCCCGCCCCGGCCGCCGAGCGCCTCGGAGCGGAAGGTGTCGCTGCTGCCCAGCGCCAGGCCGCAGCCGCAGACCCCGAAACACGCCACCAGCCGCAGCAGCGCGCCTCGATCCAAGCGAAGCTCGGCCCGGAGAAGAGCCCTCGTTTCCCGTAGAAAGGCTCTGAGGCCTCTGGGGGGGCGTAACTCCCTTCTTGACCCCCAATCCCTGACCAGGCACCCCTAAGGGGAACCAAGCCAAAGCCAGACCAAACCGCCAAATCAAATCAAACCAACTGGCTGTAGATCAGGGTGGGTCAAATTGAACATAAGGGAAACAGGATATTGCTCGTTTAGCAAGTTTGACCGCTGATTGGCAGCCCAAAAGGGGCCCCCAGTTGGTGGTTTGCTTCGGTTTGGTGGCTTGGCCCACGGCACCTTCCCCATTTCAGGAGGGGGTAAGCCCCAATCAATTTCAGCCGAAGGGGTACCTGAGCATGCAGAAGTCCAGGGACAAAGATATCCCGAAAAAACACGGAGGCCTTGACAAAGTTCATGTCATGTGGTGCTTGGTGGCAACTCCAGTCCGCTACCTCCCCTAACAATACCACATTCCAGCGTGAGAGGGCTGCTGCAATTTCGACCATCCCTCCCCGCAGCAGAAAAAGAAGAAATAAAATTTGGACAAATATGTCTGAACATGATGTGTCACTGGGTCCATATTGTTGGACATGCCAAGCTTGAGCCGCGCAGCTTTGGGCTATGCTGGGGCTCCGTTTTCCCTTCTGCTTCTCCTGACCACCGCAGCACGGTTGCCCTAGCAAATGGATGCAGACAATTGTGATTCAAGCAGAATATGCGCCCGCCTTCTTGTCTTCTGCCTTACCCTTCTTTGGCCGCTTCATCCGGCAGGCGAGGCAGGAATGACTTAAAAGCAGAGGGGGAGCAGGAGGGGACAGCGGCCTTTGCAGACAGAATGTGCTGCATGGTCAGTTTCAATGCAAAACATCTCCTGAACAAGGCAAATAGTGAGAGAAATATGTGGACTGCTGCTTGCTCTCCGCAAGGCTCGAAACAAGTGCGGATGGCCTTGCGCCTTTTGCCTTTGATATGTGCTGCTCGATTGCTTCTATTTGGGTTTGTGTGGCCCTTGCATTTTCATGGCACGCTTCTCCCATGCCGGGAAATCCATATCGCTCCAGCCCAAAGAACTGAGGGGGGCGGAGCTTCTGGGGCAAACCCAATCAGGGAGTTCCCAAGCACCTTCCTTCCGTCTAGCAGGGCTTCCACGGGTGTCCGGCCCTTCAATCTTCCGGAGTTTTGACCAACCCGCAAACCAAACTCGCAATCCCAAAGCATCCCACACACAAACATAGCAGCAGCCCCCTACGAACATATATACATGTACACACACACGTATATTTAAATATGTATATATATATATATATATATGTGTGTGTGTGTGTGTAAAACTAGTTTTGACACCTTGGGCCCCGGCGCCACGAGCTTCGCGAAGCTGGCAGTTCCCGCAGAATGCACCGAGTTTGCTATTCCAGGGCTCGACGTGGCTTACGACTTGGCGAAAACATTCAAACATCCCGGGTGGGGGGGAAGGAACGGGGGGAAGGGGAAAACATGTAGGATGCTTCCAGGCGTTGTTCTTCTTTTTTCTTTGGGGGCAGGGGGACCCCCTGCACTCAGAGAGCGCCATCCTGGCCCGAGGCCCGATTAGGGCTTGAGGCGGGAATTTGGACTGAGATGAGCGGACCAGCTGGGCATGCCATCTGAAAAGAAACACCGTTCTTTCAGGGCCTGTTTGCTGGAAATACCCCCCTGCATGTGACAATGGATCTGCGCATGCCGGATCGGCCTCCAGACGATGCGTGACAGATGCCGCGTGTCGCACCACTCCAGCCTTGGGCTGGTGTCCGTAAGTTGCCGGAAAGGAAAGGGCCCCTAGATACATGGGTAAGTTGCAAACCTGACGCAAAGACCTGCCCACCACTCCGCAATTCACGAGGCCTTTGGTGCTCTCAGAGCTGACTCTGCCAGTTGGATTCTTGGGAATTTCCAGTACAAAGGGGTGGCTCCACAAACCCAAAGCAGTCAATAGAGCAGTCTCCGCAAATGCGCGGAGTGAGGCGCCCGCTGTTGCAGCACGCACTGCCCCAACTCATGCAACCTCGGGATGGTGCACCCGTCATTTCAGACAAACCATTTCTGGGATGGGATTCCCAGGGGGCCATGTAAGGGAAGAAACCCAGCGGGCCGATCTCACATCATGCGTGCCATGGTCACTCCTTTTGTGGGCGTCATGGCGCGAGAACCCTTACAAGGTGGTCGAAATCCGCGGGTTTCAGGGCTCATAACCATCCCTGCTGTGGATGGACTAAATCCTGCACCACTTGGAAACCATGCGAAACCATTGTGCATTGGTATTTGCAGGGGAATCATCATTCCCGGCTTTCTTAGGTGGTGCAGGATGTCGCCCATCCTCAGTAACAATCCCAAGCAAAGGCCCTTTTTGACCATGGCACATGTGGGGGCGCAAGGCGTGCAGGGGCGCAGCCGCGTTTTGGTGCCTGGCCATTTCTTCGACCGCGTGCAAATGAGCACGCGCGGTCGGGCGCTCATGCGCTGCAGTTGCGCTGAGAAACCGAAGTTGATGAGCAAGAGTCAGCAAGAGTTGTAAACGTAACATCAGCGTGCAAGTCGTTGGCACGCAACTCGGAAAACCGCCACTAGAAGCATCGCACCCAGCGAACGCCCTTCACGCCTTGGCTGGATTCACTTGCAATACCATTTTCTCACCAAATGGGACATGGATGCAGACCAAAAACAAAGTGCCAAAGTTACCGCCAATTTCAGGCCCCGGCACCAAAACCGTCCTGGACAGGCGATGGGCCTCTGGGGCGATGGCGGTGCTAGCCATATGCATGCCACCACCTTCGCAGCGAGGATTGCCCAGGACAGCCTGACGCGTGCACCAGGTCACCCAGCCTGAGGCGCTCATCGAAAGCGACGGCAGGACCCAACGGGGCCACTGAGAAAGTTGGAGCTTTACGGAATTTGAACTGCGGATTCCAGAAGAAATCGAAAGGAACCTACAAAATGCAAACCTCCCGTCGCTTCAAATCGTTTTGCAAGAGGCTGGGCAGGGAACTGTTTTGCTTGCTGGTGCGATAGGTAGGAATGAGGGAATGAACCTGGGGATTCAACTGAAGGAAACCAGAGGGGGATGGTTTATAGGGATCATTCCCTCATGCTGAGCACCAGCAAGTGTATGTTGGTTTGAGTTGGTCTGTCTGGCCTACATGGCCCTAAAGCTGTTGGCCGAAGCGCGCCGGAACACAACGATGCCATGTCGGAGCGTGCGCTCCATTCCGGCCGAACAGAAGATCACCCTGGCTGCAGCAAACCAAAAGCGGCAAAAAGAGACTTCGAGATCCAGAGGCTATGAGTCCAAGGTGAGCAAGACTGCCTGCCAAATCCTAAATCCAGGTAAGCCGGCACAAAGCAGGGTTCATTGAAAGAACGTGACCAGCTGCATGTGAGGGACAAGACTGGCATTCGGGTGCGAACAAGCTCTTCGCAATGTCTTCTTAAATCCTTACTCTTGGGGAAACGAGGTGAAGGTAAGTAAAGCAGCACTCAAGGCCAGACAAGGTGGGTCAAAGGGCGAACCCCCCTTTGACGGGTTCCCATCCCAACCCCCGGAGTGTAGCCCCAGGCGCAGGCTCTTCACGAATTCCGCGGACTCCTCCAACGGCAGCTGCTGCACCGGGGGCACGTGGATGAAGATGCTGGGCACCAACGCCCCCTTGCAGCGCCGCCACTTCTCCTCAAAAAACCAACGCGCGGCTTCAAGCCGCTCGCCGCTTGGACGAGGGGGGGGAATCCGGCGGTCCCTTGCCGCCGTCCAAGTTTCAGTACCAACGGCTCTTTAGCCCAAACTGTCCGAAGAAGAAAAACAACAGACCGAAGGATCCTGGCGGATCTTGTAGAGAGTGCGGTAGTAGATTTCGTTGCAGAAGAAGTCCCCCGCATCGCGGCTCCAAAGCTCGTGGGGGTTGTGGGTGTTCAAAGCCACCGCCCCCAGGTCTCCAGTGGTCGGCAAGAACTGGGGCCCCTCAGGAGCCACCGGGCCCCGGTTCAGAGCCCGATTGTTCCTTGCAGCGTTTGATGCTTTTGATGGAAGCGAAAGGGAGGGAGAGGAGCAAACGCTACTCGTGAAGACATTCTGCCACATATACTTTCTCCAGGTCTACTGGGTCACACTGGCTCAAATAGGCACGCTGGCTCAATGCGGCCTCAAGCCTTCTGCGTAATTATAAGGGATGCGGTGGCCCGCCAAAAACCTCCCAACTCAAAAAACCTCCGAAGCACCAGGCACCCTTGACTTGTGACCGGCGTGGGCCTGGGCCCCTGGATGCCCCTGGGCCCGGATAATTTTTTCTGGGCCGCTCTTGAGCCAAGGGTCCAGGCCACCGTCTCCAACTTCAAGCCCTTGGCCACGTTCTCGAAGCCCAGGTGCACGATGGCATCCCAGCCCACCTCCGATACGTAGCCCTGCGCCTCCAGGACACCCTCCTGGAGGGAAAAAACACGAGGCCGTTCAGAAGTTCAACAGAAGATGGGTGGGGACCTGTTTATCCTCCGAAGGGACCAGCTTGGCATATTCAACAAGAGAATGGTGGTGATTTTGAAAGGACCAGCCTGGCATATTCAACAAGAGGTTGGTGGTGAAAGGACCAGCTTGGCATGTTCAACAAAGGATTGGCGGGGAGTTTGCCTTCCAAAGCACCAGCTTGGCATACTGCCAAGAGGAGATCAACACTTGTGGGCGGACCATACTTTTTTCAAGCTCAAGCAAGGCCGCCCAGGTTCGGCGCGGGGGAAAACACATCGGGTAACCTATGCTCACCGCCAGCTGTTCGACATGGTTGGGCGTACGTCACAGGGAGGACGCGCAAGGGGAGAATGTGTTCCTTTTGGCAGGCTTCCCTCGGATAGTTCCCATTTGGATCACTTTTAGGGGTGTCCTCCATCATTTTGGCGTGGAACGGGTTTCCGTGTTGCCTTCCCAGGACCGGAGAGGGTCCACCTCCTATCAAATGGTTGTCCCAGTAGGCCTGGCTGAGATTAAAAGCGCACAAGAGAATTGCCCCCGGACCAGAAGGGGGGCCACAGAAATGGAGAACCCGCGAGCGCATGTTGCCTGTGCTAGGCTTGGGATCGGCTGCCTAAAGATCGAGCTTGTCAGCTTGAGTTCCAACGAGTCTATTCGATGTCGAGTTCAATAATGTTGACCCTAGTAAACCCGCCATCATTAGGGGGGTGTTCCCTCCAAAAGTGATGAATCCGCACTAAAAAGGGGACACCCCCTATTAATCAACCAGGGGTTTATTAATCCGGGGTTAACATTAGCAGGCTTCTTCGATAGAAACCGACTGGAGGCATTTCGCACTTCAAGCCTCAAGCCAGGCATCGCAGTGAACCCGGCATTTTCCTTCAGTCACTTGAAACGAAACGACGCCTCGGACACGTCCACACGAACGCTGCGGATCATCACATTCTGCACCCGGCTGCCGTTCAGCAGCACTGCCACGTCCCCCGAGGGGTTGCTCGAGAAGTTGCCCCAAGGGTTGTAGCCCGTGAGCAGAATATCCGCATCGGCAGCGTACAAAAGTCCGACGAACGCCCGCGCCCACAT